TGGCCACAGCAGGAATGTACATAACTGTCATTTATTAGGCAGAAACTGATAGGGGCCAATTCCTTGTGCTCACTACATACACATGTACATCAGTGAAGTTTTTCTGTTGCCAGCTGCCATTTTTGAAATGGTGCCACCGATCAACAGTTCATGCCACTCACCTCAACCTTAAACAATGACATGTGTTGTCATTTGTTATTAATTTTATTTTTATGGAAATGAGTTACCTTTTTCTAAAATAAACAAAATTTGATAGTAATATCATCATGTAAAAAAAAATTGTTTAAAATGATTGTATTTGATATAGACTGAACATGTTGGGGAAAAAATAAATCTAAAATAATAAAATCCCTGCCTAACTACCCAATAGTTTTTACTCTAATACTGGAAACACCAAATTTGTTTTTCATTGGCCTCATAATGGTTTGAGATCTTTTTAACATGATCCACATAAATAATGAGGGATGAAATGGGATTCTGTACAAACAGGTCCATGCATTTACATTCTATGTTTCTGGTTTGATGTTGACTCATTTACAGCCCTGTCATTGGTGATACAAAAAGTTTACTCCTTATAGCATGTGTGTGGGCTGTCTTATGCAAACCAACAATGCTGTTTTTGCACATGGTCAATTCACTCCGGTTATATGTCAGATGACACATTACCATTGCCATGCGATAAATTCATTACTTTTACCGGTTCTATCAGTCTGATGGAATTGATATCATCATTGATAACTCTATGAAGTACAATTACATTCCATATAGTCTCTTTGCACCTACTTTATTTCTTATTCATTCTGAATGGACAGTTGGATGAACATACAATAGCCTAAAAGTAAGGGGGTATATTTGTACAACACCCTGTAACTTTGCATGATATGGGTCTATAATACTGTCTTGTAAACAGTTAACTACTGGTTTTGTACAGTTTATTGTTGCTGCACATATACTTATTGAAAACAACAAGATATAGTATTTTCGGCAATATGACTACTACCAAATTGGTCGGTGGTGATACCTATCATTTGGGTCTTCCGTCGACACTTATCTACTTTTGCACCATGAGTCGTTCCATGCACATCATACCAGATTTAATCATGACACTCCGTTTACAACACTAATTTACCTCATTATAATGTGCATAACCTGTGTTTTCATTGAGGGGATGCTTGAATGCACGGTAGTGCTTTCAGCATCCTCTCACTAGTTATTTACAATGTGCCTCAAGATTTAATTTATGGAAAGTCCAATCATATCCAAAGCATTTCAACAATGTTCTTCCTATTGAACATTCCTCTACTCAACACCTTACTCAAATCATTCATTACAATATATAATCCTTACCACTATTTTTTTTATTTTCTTCCAGGCGAGATAATTCAACCATCACCTGTATTGGTTCAACTTTTTACTTTATTCTTACTCGAATTTTTTTGTAAACTTGTTGTATATTGATGGTTAAGATAAAAAATAAAAACTTTATTTTTTCCTTGTTCATTACAGACGTTTATTCTATTCACACTATTTTTACATGGTTGTCTTCCATCTAGTCATGCTGAGTGATGTCTAATAGCAGCTGGCCAAATTACAATCGAGTGGTGGGTGGGTCACAGTCAAGTACAAATAAGCCATTCACTGCCAAACAACAAATATAATCATTCTTTCCGATCAAGTACTTTAACCCTCTTGATTCAAATGACATAACCAAAAGACGTAAGACATCACCTACTTCCTATAACACACAACACCATATTCACATAACTGTTCATACATGTATACCTTGTCACAGCAAAATCAATTACATAAATTTACCAACGGCTCCAGCAAATCATCTGCCCGTATTAACTATAGCCTCTTTTGTAATCCCTCTAATACTAATATTTTGTGTTTCAATTACATAATGTTAGTCCAAAAATGTCAGCTTCTATTATTTGAACACAATCCTATTATCAAGGTCACGTTTGTATTGCGCTGGTCCCACTAACTCTGGGTGTTAATTTATGCATAAACTTGAAGTAGTGAAATTTGAGATGCTGCCCTGCAAAATTGACAACTGGTAGACAGTTTTCAAGACGGCACTTTCTTCATCGTAAACAGATGTACCCATAAACCAATTTTGACAGGAAACAGACGCATGGTTTAGAATCGATTTTTTTTTAAATCACTTTTGACCAAAAAAGCACATTTTTGTGCATATTTCAAACTACAGTGTCTATAAAAAAAATACTAACAACATTTTAAAATTCATACAATAATCTTTCCGAAAATATATAGTTTTGTGGACAAGGGAGGTCATCTTGGTTTCTTAATTAACTAATTAAAATACCTGTCACGTAGACTGCATCTCCACCTTAAGGTAGCGAGAAGGTTTTGTGACGTTTTTAAATAAAACATTCTCTGTCTGTTGTCTCGTTCAGAACAGTAATTTAGGTTATATATATCAAAAGACTAAGTATAGAGGTGCAAGTTCGCACAAACTGGACAGACATTGTTTACATCATTATCACTTGACATAAAAAATGGCGAACCTTGTAAAAATGACTAAGTCCGCGATTGCGAGAGCACACTGCGGAATTTCCTGGTGAAATTTACGTCATGCATTGTCCGTAATCAAGTCCATTGAAATGCGTCTCCGATAATCAAAAGATCTATTATTCCGATTTCTATGCAGGTTTGTTTTTTTGTCCCCAAATTATTTCATACTTGGCACCTTTAACAGACTATTATTCTGTGACAAAGCATTTTCTTTAAAAACCCAGACATATTTCGCACCATCATTATCTTTTGAACGATAACTGCGAGTTTGAATGTCCTAGTCCGAACGCACTTGATTTAGCGGCGGTCCCAATGAGTCGTACTCGATCAAAACTTCAACTCGAGAAAAACGCGAAAAACAGTTTTGGTTAATAAAACACTGTAGATTTGCTGCATTATTATAAATATACACTAAAAATGGCCAAACATGTTAACCACTGATATCATAGAACTCATAAAGAGATAATGAATAATTTCAAGCTCGAGCGTGAAAAATGAAGAAAACTGCTGGCATTTGAGTCCGTACTCCAGGAACGTTCGGGTTTTCCATTGTT